GCCCCCCCGCGCTGCATGGAATAACCGCAGCAGCCCGCTCGGATCAGGACAATCCGGCGAACCCCCGCTCCCCCCGCCCCGGGTCGGAAAGCGGAGGCAGAGCGGTGAGTAACGGAGACTCCCCGTCCCTTTCCACCTCCTCCCCATTGAGCGTACTTTTAGGGTGAATTTCCCCCGAAGTCTGTTCTGTTTGGGGAGAAAGACGAGCTTGGAGGGGCGCCCCTTTCTCCTCCTCCTCCTCCCCCTCCGCCTTTTCTCCGAAGTGGAAGCTCTGGGGAGAATCCATTTAAGCGGCTAGTCCCTCGGGAGTCGCCGTGGAGCGAGAGGGTTGCATTCCATCTATCCGCTGGGCAGGCCTGTCAAGGGACCTTCCAATGCCCAGCTTACGCCCCCCCCCTCCCTTGGAGGTCGCTAGGATCTGGCCGCATCTTCGGTGCTACCAGGAAACAGGGCGCCCTGCTGTTCATTTACATCTTTGGGGAATCCGAGGCTAGGCCTGTCACTTCCCTTCCGAGCGCCTTCTTCCGCCTGCATGTGGATCGGACGGCAGAGAGGCCGGAGGGTGCGAAAGAAAGAGGTGTTGCAGGGGAGGGGGGCAACCCTCTGGCTGGCTGTGTGATCTCGGGTGTTCCCCTCTTCCTCCTGCGAAGTCCCATTGGGGGGCTGGTTTCCAAGTGGAAGCCACAGGCAGCAGAGCGTGGGATGAGAGAGAGGAGAGGCCTTTGAGGGGCAGAGGAGTGGCCGCCGGACCTGAAAGTGGTCCTTTTAGGGAGCAAGAACCTTGCCCTGACAGTGGTGACAAAGCTGTGGTGGCCAAGGAGGCTTCCCCCTCCTCCTGTCTTCCTCGGAAGAAGTGAAACTTAATTGAAGCAGCTCCAGAGGATCGCAAGGTCCGTGGGAAGGCACCCCGTGGTCCACTGGCTCTTCTTGAGGCCAACAGCGTCCCAACAGCGTTGAGGCTTGGGGCAAAGATCTCAGACGTGGTTTGGGAGGGTAACACACCTTGGCCTTCAGGGGGTAAGCCCGCAAGCTCCCCTGGAGGGACATCCCCCTGGTGTTTGCCCTCCCACATGGTCTTCTATTTTTCTGAGCTGGAGCAAGCTTGGAGGAGAAATGGAGAAAGCTGGGGTTGATGGTGGTGGAAGCCAAGGCCGTGCGGATGGTGTGATAGCAGGCCCTTTGGCCTTTGTGTGGACGGGGGACCGTGGCGCTCACCTTCCCCAACGTGGGCGGACAGTGGCGCTACTGTGCTCATCAGCTGGGCAGGATTGGTTTGGATTCACAGCGCAGGGAGACAAGAAAGCTATTGATGGCCCCTGGTTGCGATCTTTCCTTTCTCCTCTGGCCGCCATCCGTGAGTCATATGGTAGCAACTGGACGAGGGGCGGTGCGCTCATTCAGCGCCTTGTCGCCAGGCCGTCCAGATGGATGGCAACTGCAAGAACGGAGGGAGCTTTGGGGGGAGTGCATGATTAGGTGAACTAAACTGAAAATAGCTAAAGATGGAGCGCTGAGGGCCACTTTAAGTTAGGTGGACTTCAACTCCCAGAATTCCCCAGCCTGCATCTTGCCAGGCCGTCCAGATGGATGACAAACGCAAGAACAGAGGGAGGCTTTGGGGGGAGCTGACAGATTATGAGAATTAAACTGAAAATAGCTGAAGATGGAGCGTTTAGGGCAGTGTGTCTCCACCTTAGCCACTTTAAGATAGGTGGACTTCAACTCCCAGAATTCCCCAGCCAGCCTGGCCGGGGAATTCTCGGCGTTGGAGTCCCCCTATCTTTAACTCGGCAAGGGGGGGGCACACCACCCTAAACCCCTCCCCATCCCCCATTTTACACAC